CCTGCTGGTAATGGCCCATTTCCACTGAGTGGTACAGTATAGTATACACATACATACTTGCGTATAAATGTTCATTACTAACCTTTCTATAAACATGATTCGATTATAACCGCAGATCAATGACAGTGTGAAATAGCCTACTGTAACGTCTGCAATTATATACAATAAATAAATAAATGAACATAAATGAACACACACAGACCCTTACAGTCTCCGATATTTTGCTAATTACAGAAGAACTACACACAGCAGACATTTAATCCTGATTTGGGTTCAAAAACAACACACAACATATAGCCCACAGTCACTGCAAACCTCTCATCTGTGTCTTTAATCTTCAGCAGCGCACGTAACCTCTGTTACAAAGTAATCCTGAGTTCATAATAATAGTCTACTGGGGCACAGCACCCCCTCCAAATAAAAAATTTAAAAATTTAATTAATTAATTAATTAATAAATAAACAAACAAACAAACAAACGAATGAATAAATGAATAAATAAATAAATAAATGAATAAATAAATAAATAAATAAATAAATAAATAAATATACATACATACATATATATATATATATATATATATATATATATATATATACACACACATATATATATATATATATATATATATATATATATATATATATATGTATATATATATATATATATATATATATATATATATATATATATATATATATATATATATATATATATATATATATATATATATATATATATATATATATATATATATTTACATTTCTTACTGATCCAGGTCGTACCATTATCACACCACAATGCACTTGACTAGAGGTTCAAATAAAGCTTGCATCACCCTTCACAGAAAGACTCAGCATCCCATAGAGGTTTGTTATAAAACAAAATACATGTAAGGAGGTCAGTGCTGCATATTTCCTCCATGACTCAAAAAGGTGACGGACTGAAAATGATTTTGCTGCCTTAGTGTAGAAAATACACAGCAGACTGAATCTAACTGCAAGACATTCGTGATTATAAACTTGTTTACCTATGGTGACCCCGCACGTCATGATTCTGCCAAGTACAATGCAAGCCTGGAATAACATCAATGTTGATCCTAGAACCTCATTTTGGTTAAAAAATGTCACCCATACCTATTCTCTACCCATATAACAAATGACTGTAAATTATTCCCAAAACCAAGGGGGAATAATAGTTGGATAACAATCATGTATAAAGTGCAAAAACCCTAACCTAACCACCTAAACTTAACATAAACTGTAAACGTATCACTTAATTTTGATTGGCTGATTGCAATGTTGTTTCAGGACCAACATAGATGTTCATCCAGGAGGAGCATGTCCTACTTGGTAAAACTTGGTGCATTTTAGTCTCCACTAGAATATAAACACATGAAAACACCTGCACTCTCCATAGATAAAAGGATATTTTTTTGTTATTTTTTTTTATATTTTCTATCTCTTTACCTTAACATTACACTGTAAAAAATGATGCAGGGTTCTACTCAATTCATTCATGTTGTCCCAAAACAAATCAATTTTTACAATACTTAATTATGTTTGGGCGAGGCGGTGGCACAGTAGGTAGTGCTGTCGCCTCAAAGCAAAAAGGTAGCTGATTCGAGTCTCGGCTGGGTGAGTTGGCGTTTATGTGTGGAGTTTGCATGTTCTCCCCACCTTCGCGTGGATTTTCTCCAGGTGCTCCGGTTTTCCCCACAGTCCAAACACATGCGGTACAGGTAAATTGGTTAGGCTAAATTGTCCCTTGTGTGTAAATGAGTGTGTATGGATGTTCCCCAGAGATGGGTTGCAGCTGGAAGAGCATACGCTGCGTAAAACATATGCTGGAACAGTCGGTGGTTCATTCCACTGTGGCAATGCCAGATTAATAAAGTGACTAAACCGAAGAGAAAACGAATGAATCAATGAATAATTATTTACAATTTACTGTTTTATCTTAAAGACCTCAAGTTAGGTGTCCATTCACAGAAAAAAAATGATTAAATGGATTTGCTACATATCTTTTCAGGTAAGTGGTTGCAAACCATTTATATGGGCTGAATTTAAACGAACAAATTAAATGTAGTAATGTTCAACTTAATTTAATTGTTTAAATTCAACCCATATAAATATACACTTACCTTAAAAAAAATTGTAAATTCAATGAATCGTTTTTAGGTGTTCTGACACAAGACTCCATGAGTTGTTGTGCATTTAGGTCCCCAATGGGATATAAAAACCAACCAACATACATAGAAATAAGGGGGGGATGTGGCCACTTTATTAGGTACACCTTACTAATACTGGGTTGGACCCCTCTTTGTCTTCAGAACTGCCTTCGTGGCATAGATTTAACAAGGTACTGGAATTATTCCTTGAGAGATTTTGGTCCATATTGACATGATAGCATCACACAGTTGCTGCAGATATGCGAATCTCCCGTTTCACTACATCCCAAAGGTGCTCTTTTGGATTGAGATCTGGTGACTGTGGAGGCCATTTGAGTACAGTGAACTCATTGTCAAGTAAAAGAAACCAGTCTGAGATGATTCGTGGAGCGTTCTCCTGCTGGAAGTAGCCATCAGAAGATGGAGACACTGTGGTCATAAAGGGAGAGACATGGTCAGCAACAATACTCAGGTAGGCTGTGACGTTGACACGATGCTCAATTGGTACTAATGGACCCAAAGTGTGCCAGAAAATATCCCCACACCATTACACCACCACCACCAGCCTGAACCATTGATACAAGGCAAATTCTGACCCGACCATCCGAATGTCGTAACAGAAATGGAGACTTATCAGCGCAGGCAACATTTTTCCAGTCTTCTATTGTCCAGTTTTGGTGAGACTGTGTGAATTGTAGCCTCAGTTTCCTGTTCTTCGCTGACAGGAGTGGCACCAGGTGTGGTTTCAGCTGCTGTAGCCCATCTGCCTCAAGGTTGGACGTGTTGTGTGTTCAGAGATGCTCTTCTGCAGACCTCTGCTGTAACGAGTGCTTATTTGAGTTACTGTTGCCTTTCTATCAGCTGGAACCAGTCTGGCCATTCTCCTCTGAGCTCTGCCATCAACAAGGCATGTGCGCCCACAGAACTGCCATCCACTAGATATTTTCTCTTTTTCGTACTATTCTCTGTTAACCCTAGAAATGGTTGTGCATGAAAATCCCAGTAGATCAGCAGTTTCTGAAATACTCAGACCAGCCCATCTGCCACCAATAACCATGCCACTTCAAAGTCACTTAAATCACCTTTCTTTCCCATTATGATGCTCTGTTTGAACTGCAGCAGATCGTCTTGATCATGTCTATATGGCTAAATGCATTGAGTTGTTGCCATGTGATTGGCTAATTAGAGATTTGCGTTAAAAAGAAGTTGGACAGGTGTACCTAATAAAGTGGCCAGTGAGCGTATGTAAAAATGTTCTTTTAATGTAAACTTTAAAAATGCCTTTGCAATTATTGAATTGAATTGAGAGAGAGAGACGCACAAACACACACACACACACACACACACACATACACACACACACACACACGCGCACACACTCCTCTCCTGTTGCCACAGCAACAAAACTCTCCTTCACAAGCACCGACAGCACACAAGCTCCTGCAGGCGCACTGTTATAACTGCTTATTCACACCAAATGATGCTGAAAATATCTGAAAGGCGTCCAGTGCATCAAGTGCGTGGCGATCTTACCTCACAGTTCTGCCCTGTGAAGCCCCGGCTGCAGACACAAATATAAGCCCACGGCTCCAGAGTCTGCATCTGCGTGCTCTGACTGTCCTCCATCTCTCCCAGCCGGCTGCAGACGCCTCCGTTCAGGCACGTCGGCCCTCGCAGGGGTCCGGCGCAGTGCTTGGGTCCTCGCCGGGGCCCGGGCTGGACGTCAGAGGGGTCCCAAAGAGTCCGTCCATCTCCCCGAGGAGAAGGAGGAGGAGAGGAAGGATGAAGAGCTGCATGAGGATGCTGACGGGTGACAGATCGGTCTAATGTACCTCTGTGTGTTTGCTGGTGGAGAGACGAGATCAGTGGATTACAGGCGCTCGCTTGTGGAAACTGGAAGGTCTGAGTGTGTTTGAGGAGGGAGAGAGAGAGGGGAGCAAAGGGGAGGAACTCGTTCACAGTGACGGCAGGTGACGATACACACACACACACACACGCTCCGCCTCTTGCCCAGTCTGTTTCAGAGGGTTTCTGCTGTGTCAGTGTACATGAAGCTGTGCAAGAACAGTCAGACACCTTCATTGACAGCATGCACAATCATTAGGTGCATTTCAGTACATTAAAGGAATATTTCACCCAAAAATTTAAATTTGGTTATCACTTACTCACTTGTGACCTTTATGAGTTTCTTTCTTCTGTCAAACACAAAAGAAGATATTTCGAAAAATGCTGAAAACCTGTAACCATGGACCTCCATGGTATTTGTTTTTCATACTATTGAAGTCAATGGTTACCGGTTTTCAGCTTTCTTCAAAATATCTTCTTTTATATTCAACGGAGTCGAGGCAGTGGCGCAGTAGGTAGTGCTGTCGCCTCACAGCAAGTAGGTTGCTGGGTCGCTGGTTCGAACCTCGGCTCAGTTGGCGTTTCTGTGTGGAGTTTGCATGTTCTCCCTGCCTTCGCGTGGGTTTCCTAAGGGTGCTCCGGTTTCCCCCACAGTCCAAAGACATGTGGTACAGGTGAATTGGGTAGACTAAATTGTCTGTAGAGTATGAGTGTGAATGAGTGTGTATGGATGTTTCCCAGAGATGGGTTGCAGCTGGAAGGGTATCCACTGTGTTTAACATTTGTTGGATTAATTGGCGGTTCATTCCACTGTGGCGACCCCGGATTAATAAAGGGACTTAGCCGACAAGAAAATGAATGAATGAATGAATGTTCAACGGAATAAAGAAACTCGTAAAGGTTTGGAAACGGTTTGAGGACATAGTGAGTAAATTTTCATTTTTTTGGGTCAACTATCGCTATATTACATCAAAAGGATAGTACGTCCAAAATAAAATTCAGTCGTTTATTCACTCTGAACATTTTCCAATCCTTTATAAGTTTCTTTCTTCTGATGAACACAAAAAAATATTCAGAAAAATACTGAAAACCTGTAACCATTCACTTGCATAGTATTTATTTTACCTACTATGGAAGTCGATGGTTACTGGTTTTTAGCTTGGTCCCACTTTTTATTAAGTGTCCCTAACTAATATGTACTTACATCGAAAAAATAAATAAATAAATACAATGTACTTACTGTGTTTATAATGTATTTGAGAACACTTGTTGGTGCTTTTGAGTTTGGATAGAGGTTGGGTTATGGACAGGCTTGGTGGCATGGGTAGGTTTAAGGGTAGGTTAAGGTGTAAGGGATGGTCAACAGTGTATTTACAAATCTAATTACAAAAGTTAATTACAGATGTAATTACATACATGTATTTAATCAAGCATAAGTACACAGTAAATACATGTATTTACACAATAAGTACATTGTAACAAACTATTAATTCCTATGTAAGTACATATTAGTTATAAGGACACTTAATATAAAGTGGGACCTTTAGCTTGCTTCAAAATATCTTCTTTCAAGAGTTTACACTTAGATAATGCTTGACTATCTAAGCAAGTTTGGCATGCTGTCCCGGGAGAGAACCCTGAGCTCGGAGATAGATGAGCCCAAGGCTCCCGCCTGGTCAAAAAGCATTAGGAGGGATATGAGATCAGGTAGTTCTAGATAACTTCCTAAGAATAGACCGCTTACTGCGCTCGTTTGTAGTAGGTGCTTGTGACTTTAACTTTTGCTGCATGGTTTTTTGAGTGTGGGAGGAAGCATGCAAACTCCACACAGAGAGTGTCTGTTTGAACCAATGACCTCCTTGCTGTGGGGCAACAGTGTTAGCCACTGAGCCATCGTGTCGCCCGAACTTAGAATTGAGGAGGAGGGAGAAGGGATGGATGGAGGGGGGGTGGGGATGGGGTTCCAAAACGAAGATAAGGAATGAAGTTTATGCTGGATATTTATATTGTATTTAGAGTGATCCGATTGGCTAGTTAGTGATTGGTGATAGGGATCAGCTGTAGTCAATCCTATCACGTGCTAGTCTCGAAATTAGTTTAAGAAACTTCACTTCGTGTTCATCAGAATAAAGAAACTTGTGAAGGTTTGGAGAAAATAAAACAGTTGAGAAAAAAGTGAGTAAATTTTAATTGTTGGGTGAACTATCCCTTCAAGGGTACATTGTTAATATTACAAATTATGCTTGGAGGCATGAAGTTTATCTGCATTCTGAGTGACTGACCTTTCAATTTCTCACATTCCTTATATACAGGGACCAGGTTTTCTAAATAGAAGTGTCCTGAAATGTGCTTGAAGAATATGTAAATAACTTACATTTAAACAAAAATGAAGGGTATAATCCTTTAAATGCAATGTGGAAATTAGTTAACACTGAATAAAATGCATGAATTTTAGATCAAAAGTTGCCAGTGAAACTAACATGAGTACATGACAAAAAAAAAAAAAAAAAAAAGGGGAGTCTCTCATATATCCGGTGACTCTCTGTTACAGTAAATATGCTTCCTGCCAAATACCAAGTAAACTAGCAACAGTGTGATTCAAATTCCTTTAAGTATACATTCATTCATTCATTCATTCATTTTCCTTTGGCTTAGTCCCTTTATTCATTAGGGGTCGCCACAGCGTAATGAACTACCAACTTATCCAGCATACAGTATGTTTTACACAGCGGATGCCCTTCCAGCTGCAACCCAGTACTGGGAAACACCCATACACTCTCACATTCACACTCATACACCATGGCCAATTTAGCTTATTCAATTCCCCTACAGCGCATGTGTTTAGACTGGGGGAAACCGGAGCACTCAGAGGAAACCCACACCAACATGGGAAGACCATGCTAACAAAAATGCCAACTGACCTCAATGGCTCAGTGGTTAGCACAGACGTCTGACAGCAAAAAGGTCGCACAGCTAGGTTGTGATACCCACTGCGCCACCGTGCAGTCAGTGCTTTACGTAAACAGGAATAAAATAGACAAGTGTAAATAAAATGAAAACAAATAATATAAAAACAGATGAAATGGCAGTGTTTTCATATTCCAAAACACTGGTGTATCATATTTTCTCATTTTACTCTGGGACTTCCCTATTCTGGAGATCAACCCCCCCTTATCTGGACTTTTTCAGTACCTATTAATCCATTGGACGTCTACAACACATTCGATTTTTCACCTAAAGTCGAAGTTAAACTTATTATGTACTGTCATCATGGCAAAGATAAAATAAATCAGAGAGATGAGTTATTAAAATTATTATGTTTAGAAATGCGTTGAAAATCTTCTCTCCGTTAAACAACAATTAGGGAAAAAATATACAGGGGGAAGGGTGACGTGGTGGCGCAGTAGGTAGTCCTGTCGCCTCACAGCAAGGTCGGTGGTTCGAGCCTTGGCTGGGTCAGTTGGCGTTTTTGTGTGGAGTTTGCATGTTCTCCACGCCTTAGCATGGGTTTTCGCCGGGTGCTCCGGTTTACCCCACAGTCCAAACATATGTGGTTTGGGTGAATTGGGTAGGCTAAATTGTCCGTAGTGTATTGAGTGTGAATGAGAGTGTATGGATGTTTCCCAGAGATGGGTTGCAGCTGGAAGGGCATCCACTGTGGTTAACATATTTTGGAATAATTGGTGGTTCATTCCGCTGTGGCGACCCCAGATTGATAAAGGAACTAAGCCGAAAAGAAAATGAATGAATGAATGACTATACAGGGGGGTAATAATTCAGGAGGGCTTATAATTCTGACTTCATCTGTATATAAAGCCCATTGGAGTGAACATTTCAGTTCCTCCAAAACGATGTGGACTTGTGTTTTGCTTCCAGACGCCCTCATGAGCCTCTCCTCTTCTGCTGCTCCTCCTGCTGGTAACCATGGCAACCACACTGACGGTCGTTATGCTGAAGCTGGAGACACACGGTTGGAGCTGCACCACGTTCGCCATCACAAAATAAACCGACGCCTTGATATTGACTGACTGTATTAGTGCCTGCCTGCTTCTTGAGCTCATTCTTCCATTTATTTTTTTCCCATAGGGATTTAAATGCTTCTATAGAGCTATACCGATTGACTGCCAGCGTGATGGAGTGGTTAAAACAGCTTGACAGCACAAGTAAGTACATAAATAAGGTATAACAATGAAGACTACAGGACATTATACTGTCAGCTGCAGATCTCATCCATGGTGGAGGGAAGTAGGACACAGGAGGTTCAGGTCACCATTCATTCATTAATTTTCCTTTGGCTTTTTCATCAGGGGTCGCCACAGCGGAATGAACCGCCAACTATTCCAACATGTGATTTACACAGATGATACCCTTCCAGCTGCAGCTCAGTACTGGGAAACACCCATACAAACTCATTCACACACACATACACTATGGCCAATTTCATTCATTCATTTTCTTTTTAGCATTGTCCTTTTTTTCATCAGGGGTCGTCGCAGTGGAATGAACCACCAACAATTCCAGCATATAATTTAGACAGCGCATGCCCTTCCAGCTGCAACCCAGTACTGGGAAACACCCATACACACTCATTTACACACACATACACTATGGCCAATTTCATTCATTCATTTTCTTTTTGGCTTAGTCCCTTTTTTCATGAGGGGTCGCCACAGCGGAATGAACCGCCAGCTATTTCAGCATATAATTTACACAGCGGATGTCCTTCCAGCTGCAGCCCAGTACTGGGAAACACCCATACACACTCATTCACACACACATACAATACGGCCAATTTCATTCATTTATTTTCTTTTCGGCTTAGTCCCTTTTTTCATCAAGGGTCGCCACAGCGGAATGAACCGCCAGCTATTTTAGCATATAATTTTGCACAGCGGATGCCCTTCCAGCTGCAATCCAGTACTGGGAAACACCCATACACACTCAATCACACACACATACACTATAGCCAATTTCATTCATTCATTTTCTTTTCGGCTTAGTCCCTTTTTTCATCAGGGGTCGCCACAGCGGAATGAACCGCCAACTATTTCAGCATATAATTTACACAGCGGATATCCTTCCAGCTGCAACACAGTACTGGGAAACATCCATACACACACAAACACACACACACACACAACAGCCAATTTCATTAATTTGTTTTGTTTTTGGTTTAGTCCCTTTATTAATAAGGGGTCGCCACAATGGAATGAACCGCCAGCATTTGTTTTACGCTGCGGATGCCCTTTCAGCCGCAACCCAACACTGGGAAACACCCACACACTACAGATAATTTAGTTCATCCAACTCATCTATAGCGCATGTGTTTGTACTGTGGGGGAAACCGGAGCACCAGGAGGAAACCCACAATAACACAGCAAGAACATGCAAACTCCACACAGAAATGCCGACTGGCACAGCCGGGACTCAAACTAGAGACCTTCTTGCAACCTTCACATCAACAGAGAGTGTAGAGGAGAGCTGAGAATTGCAGATCTATAGTAAATACTTCACTACCCATAAACCTGAACTCCAAGGACAGTTGCTGTTGCCATGGAAATAAGAACCCAGTGTGCTGGGTCGTGTCTCTGTACCGCTTATTAGGATTCCAATCACTTTCAGAACAAGGTGTTATTTTCAGACTTCTTTCATTACAGTGATAACTGCACACTTTGATTTAGATGGTGAGCTGATCTCAGATCTCAAGCCAAAATAACTCAAATGAATCTTGACGAATGTAGCAGAGACTGCACGGTGGCTCAGTGGTTAACACTGTCGTCTCACAGCAAGAAGGTCGCTGATTCGAGCGCTGGTTGGCTCAGTTGGCATGTCTGCATGGAGTTTGCATGTTCTCCCCATGTTGCCGTGGGTTTCCTCCGGGTGCTCCGGGTTTCCCCCACAGTCCAAACACATGGACAATAGGTGAATTGGGTAAACTAAATTTGCCGTAGCGTATGTGTGTGAATGAGTGTGCATGGGTGTTTCCCTGAACTGGGTTGCAGCTAGAAGGACATCCGCTGTGTAAAAAGTATGGCAGAACAGTTGGCGGTTCGTTCCGCTGTGGCGACCTCTAAAATAGAGACTAAGCTGAATGAAAATGAATGAATGACCATCTTAGAACTCATAGTAGGCCTGTATTTACTAACATTTGCTTATTAGCACTTTCTTTATGGACTTATTAAAAGGTTTAACCAGAGAATAGATATTTTAGGAAATGTCTCCATGCTGTTTTTGTCTATGGTTAGTGATTACTAAATAACCAACATGATCTAAAACATTGCCTGAAAGTGTGTCAGGTTTGGAACAACTTGTGAAAGAATAAATCATGTTGAATGTTTATTTATTGTCCACTTTTTTGGGGGATAGTTCACCTGAAAATCAAAATTCGCTCATTTACGCACCCCTTGACCTATTTGAGTTTCTTTCTTCTGCAGAGAAAGATATTTTGAAGAATGTTAAAAACATGTAACCCTCAAATTCCATAGAAGAAAAAACAAATACTACGGATGTTGATGGTTACAGGTTTCAAACATTCTTCAAACTATCTGTTTGTTTTTAACGTAATAAAGTAAATGATAACGGCTTGGAGCTACTTGAGGGGCAGAAACGTGTCTTTTCTACTTTCTGTGCTTTATGTGTAAATACAAAAAAGGAAAAACAGGACAATGGCGCTTCCTTCTGGCCACAGATGGCAGGACACCATGAATAATCTTCATTCAGAGACATATATTGAAGTATTTTACCCAAAACAACCATTATTCGAAATTCTTCCATGATAAAAAATGGAAATGGCACATAACAACCAATAGAGAGGTAGAAAGCTTGAGCAAGTGATCATTTCTAAACATAATAGTTTTAATAACTAATTTCTAATAACTGATTTGTTTTATCTTTGCCATGATGACAGTACATATATTTGACTAAATATTCTTCATTATACTAGTGTAAAAGTGTAATTTAAAGGCTTAACTGGATTAATTAGGCAAGTTAGGGTATTTACGCAAGTTATTGTGTAAAAGTGGTTTGTTTTGCAGGCTATTGTAAGCAAATATTAAGGGGCTAATAATACTGACCTTAAAATGGTTTAAAGAAAATAAAAACTGCTTTTATTCTAGCTGAAATAAAACAAATAAGACTTTCTCCAGAAGAACAAAATATTATAGGAAATACTGTGAAAAATGCATTGCTCTGTTAAACATCATTTAGTAAACATTTGAAAAACAAGTGAAGTTTATTTATAAGCTAATTTCGAGAGGATCACGTGCTTATGATTGACCATGGCTGGTCCCGAATTAGCTAATTAATGATTCACCAATCAGACGATTCTTAAGTTACTATAAATACCCTAAGTTTTGAGGAATCCTCTCCTTCCACCCCTACTCCTCCTCCTTTCCTAGATGGGTGGCACGGTGGCCCAGTGGTTAGCACTGTTGCGTCACAGCAAGAACGTCACTGATTCTACTCTTTACCAAGCCAGCCGACGTTTCTGTGCGGAGTTTACGCGTTCTTCCCATGCTCAAGTGGGTTTCCCCCGGTTCCCTGGTTTCCTCCAACTGTCCAAAAACATGCAACTTAAGTTAATTGACTAATCCAAATCAGCACCATAGACATGCTTCTAGTAAGTAGTTATCTCTTAAAAGCAATCACGATCTGTTCATTAGCTACTACAGCAGGGGAGTTCTCGAGATCTACCTGAGCTCAAACTCCCCTCTCGCCTTGCAAACGGGAGGGAGCCCCGGGCTCGAGGATCTTATGAGCTCAGGGCTCTCTCCCGGGACAGCATGCCAAACAAGCTTTATAATCAATCAACAGCTATAGTGTGAACTCTTGAAACAAACAAATTCACATGAGTGATAATAATTTTGACTTTAACTGTATGCAGAAAAACTAAATTTCCAATATCTTGCAGACTGGATGGATGGATGGATGGATGATGGATAGAAACTTAAATTTAAAGCAACAACAAAACAAAACAAAGACAAAAAATAAGACATAAAAATCCCAGATATTCTAAGAAAATAAATAATAATCTAAAAAATAATAATAAAAAAATACACAGACTTTAAATGTGTGAAATAGAACTTGTACAATACTGAAATACTCTTACATTATAAGTAAAGTACATTCATTTAGTCATTTCCCTTCAGCTTAGTCTTTATTTCAGGGGTCGCCACAGTGGATGAACCACAAACCTATACAGCATATGTTTTATGCAGTGGATGCCCTTCCAGCCACAACGCAGTACTGGGAAACACCCATACACAATCATTTACACAAGTACTCATACACCACAGACAAGTTTATTCAATTTCCCTATAGTGCATGTGTTTTAACTGTGGGGGAAACCGAAGCACCCAGAAGAAAACCCACGCAAACACAGGGAGAACATGCAAACTCCACACAGAAACGCCAACTGGCCCCGCTGGGACTTGAACCAGTGACTTTGCTGTGAGGCAACCATCGTCCCACTTTGAATAGTACACATAGACTTAAAAAAATAATTTACCTACTTTTTTTAAAGTAAGTGTTTGCAAACAATTTATTTGGGTTGTTCAATTAAAATTGTTTGTTTAAATTCAGCCCATATAAATTGTTTGCAACCACTTACTTTAAAAACAATTTGTAAATCCAATGAATCTTTTTTTTCCAGCATGCAGACAGACAGACAAACTCGGTCAGCAAAGAAGTGTTTGTTTTGTATTAAAACACATCGACCCATATCTCATCAGTGTAAGTGTATAGGGACAAATGCCTAATCTCAGGATATAATATCTAAAATGCAACCTAATTCCCAGAATTCTTTAGATCTGATGAGATGGACTCAAATAATAGCACAGAATGCATGTCTTTACGGGAGCCAATTCAAAACCGGCCACTTTATTAGGTACACCTGTCCAACTGCTCGTTGACGCAAATTTCCAATCAGACATCACGTGGCAGCAACTCAATGCATTTAGGCATGTAGACATGAGACGATCTGCTGCAGATCAAACGGAGCATTAAAATGGGGGGAAAAAAGGTGGTTTAAGTGACTTTGAATGTGGCATGGTTGTTGGTGCTGGCCTGAGTATTTCAGAAACTGCTAATCTACTAGGATTTTCACGCACAACCATTTCTAGAGTTTACAGAGAATGGTCTGAAAAAAAGAAAATATCCACTGAGCGGCAGTTCTGTGGGTGCAAATGCCTTGTTGATGCCAGAGGTCAGAGGAGAATGGCCAGACTGGTTTCAGCTGATGGAAAGGCAACAGTAACTCAAATAAGCACTCGATTCTGCCTTGTATCAATGGTTCAGGCTGGTGGTGGTGGTGTAATGGTGTGGAGGTCATTTTCTTGCCACATTTTGTGCCCATTAGTTCCAATTGAACACTGTGTACTCAAATGGCCAACGCAGTCACCAGATCTCAACCCAATAGAGCAGCTTTGGGATGTGGTGGATTGGGATATTCGCATCGTGGATGTGCGCAGCCGACAAATCTGCAGCAACTGCGTGATGCTATCCTGTCAATATGGAGCAAAATCTCTGAGGAATATTTCCAGCACCTTGTTAAATCTATGCCATGAAGGATTAAAGCAGTTTTGAGGGCAAAAGGGGTCCAGCCTGGTTCTAGTAAGGTGTACCTAATAAAGTGGCCGGAGAGTGTATACATATCCAGCATGGATTTAAGACCCGTATGCACACTAGTAAGTGCACACCTGGCTCGAGAGACAGGCCACTCACTGCTCTGACGTCACCAGCCACGCCACACTAATCGACACAGACACTAATCCAGCTCTTCTATAAAGCCCTTCTCCTCTTCTCGGGACATGAGAGAGAGAAAGAGAGAGAGAGAGAGTTTAGGATAAAGACCGTCAGGCAAGAGAAGCCATCATAAAGGGACATGACTGCTTGATGTGCAGTGACATTTGGAGTATCGGCTTGCAGTCTTTTCCGATTAACCCAGAGTCAGGCATCGTCCTGGAAGAACAGTGCCCGCCGATGGGGCCTGCGGAGGGGCAGTGCTGTGGGAGCTGCCCTTCTCTGCCCCCTATCATCATACCAGGCATGGGCAGCGTGGAGATCTGCACCACCCAAGAGGACGACTGCTTGCCCACCGATGGGTAGGACTCCATACAGTTGTGTTTCTGTGTGACTGAACAGATGGCTTGATGTAACAGGGACTAACGCTTATGTATGATGTTGATGCCGTTTGGCCTGGAGATTTCGAAAATACGCTGGATTTAGAGCTTAATTGCATGTGTGTAAACAGATGATGCGTTCAGTGCTCAGTGTAAATAA